GTTTTCCCAAGTTATCAAGCCTGCAAATATCCAGACTACAAAATTGGCCTTGGCCCCATCTGCCTCTTGTGCAGATTAAACACATAGACTGCCTGAACATCTAACTCAGAGAATATAGCCTCATCTGGCTGTGCCTGTCACACATTCTGAGTCGCTCCAACCCCCCTGTCAGATTCCCAAGAGAACCAATCAAAGATAGAAAATGTCAGAGTCAGCAACCTCTTTGGTCTTTGGGGGCTCAGCTGAGCTCATCTGTGCCCAAGGGTGATGTCTAATGTGGTCTCTGGAATGGGTAGAGTAGATACCAAAAGGGGGCTGTGTGAGGGAAAACAATAATAGAAAGATAAGACAAAGAAGAAGTTACTATTTAGATGGATTAACAGTGACTGCTTCACAGAGCTGCTCCCCAACCTCAGGCTGTAACTATCTAGCATAGGTATCATGTTCTGTAAGAACTTTGGGTCAGTACCAGGATCCTAACGCCAGTACAGCTTCTATATGGAAAGCCCTGGCCAGAAGAACACTGTCTGATCCTCATCTTGACTTTGACCCCCATAAAGATTTCTTTTAAACGTGTGTGTGTGTGTGTGTGTGTGTGTGTGTACATGTGCCCATGTGCATGTGTGCAGGCATGTATATGTTGAGGCCAGAGGTGAACCTCAGGAGTAGTCCATCTTGTTAATTGAAACAGGGACTCTCACTAGGACTTGGGGCTCACCGACTAGGCTAGGCTGGATGGCCATCAAGCCTCAGAATCTATCCATCTTCATCTCCCCAGTGCTGGGATTATAAGTGTGTGCCACTGTGCTGTGCTTTTCATACGGGTGTAGGGATCAAGTATGTGCTTGAGCAGCATGTACTTTATGTACTGAACAACCTCCCCCAGTCCCTATTTCTGTTTTCTTAAGACAACATTCATTGGTACCTGGCTGACCTGGCACTAACTGTATAGCCCAGACTGGCCTTGAACTCATGGCAATCCTCTTGGCCTTAGTAGCCTGATTGCTGGGATTACAAGTGTGTCTCACCATGCTCAGCTCTTTTGGATTTTGATTTTCTCTCGTATATTTTCAGCAGGTGAGCACCTGCTATGGAAATGTTCTCTGATATAATGTGAGAATGTGCCTTTGTTTCTGTGTTTGGTATGGCAGAGAATCTAGGCATGGAAGCTGAGATCATTGAAGTCACAAGTTTGTGAGCATGTAATAGAGCCCTCCTAAGTTGAAGGGTTAACTAATTAGCACCAGCAAGGCGTCTGGCAGGTGGCTGAAACCTTGCACTGCAAGGTCACCGAAGTGATGGAAGTAGTGTACCCATGTTAGCCTCTCTGTCTGTTTCCTCTGCCTTCAAGGTGGCATGATGCTTGGTTTCTGGGGCCGCACAAAGCAGTGAGCTCAGTTTTCCGCACTGACTACATGCATCATCTCTCTTTCTGCATCCCTTAATGAAGTGTGCAGCTCTTTTCCTCATTAGGCCGTAGCATTGTCAATAAAAGAGTCAATAAACCGGGTTGATGGGGTTGGGACCGAGAGGCTGAGATGCAGCAGCCACACACCCACAGGACAGACATCAGTACGTGTCGTGACCCAGTGTCCCGGGATCAATAACAGGCTCAAGATAAAGCCTCAGAGCCTGTGCTCCGTGGTCTCTTCCTCAAACCCGCTGCACCCAGGGTGGAGCAGTGCCCAGCAGCTCCTGCTTTGCTTGTAGTTGTTCCCAAATCACGACATTTTGGGTGCCAGATGCTTTTGTTTCTTCCTGATTGAGCCTCTTGGATGCCCCCATGGATGCATATTTAGTGAGTGCCCACCTGGCAAATGAACACATACACAGCATCTCCAAGTAACCCAGAAACCAACATGGGCCCCGTTTTCTGCACCTTCTGCCTGCTGACAGTGTGTGAGACATCCCAGCGGACAAGGCAATGTGTTTTCTGCGCGCCATTCCTGGCTGCTCTGCCTCTCTTTAGAGACCCTTATCTAATTACAAGGAATTTCAGACTAATTTTGTGGCCTCTGTTCCCAAGGACCTCTTATCTGTGCGGGCCTTGTATTTTAACCTTGTCTTTTGTTCCTTTAAGGGGTGGCAGCTGAGAAGGGGATACTAAGATCTTGCTGGAATTGGGGGATGGGGAGGGAAAGAAGAGGCAGGCAGACGGACCTGGAGTTTGTGTATTCTGCTCCATCCTCTGCCTGAGTACAGAGACAGCTGGCTGTTTTCTTCCATGACAGCCACATGGTACCCAGCCACACAGAACAGGACCTGGGCAGGGACTTGCCTGCTGCCAACCTTTCCAGATCTCTTTGATATTTCCGACAGAGCAGTAAAGGACTCTTGACTATCACGTTCTTGCTTTGCCTCTTTCCACCTTCTCTAAGACTCCTTGATGTGGTTTCCATGACTACCCCCAATCAGATTTGGCTTCCTGCGAAATTGGATTTCAAAGAAGGACAAGGCTTCAAAGGAATTTGTCCATTTAACAGAATGTCATTAGGAGTGAGGCTGACTGCTGAACCAGGGTCCTCCGATGATTAAAGAGGGGCTGTGCTCATGTGTGGAGGCAGGTTTCTGTCTGCAATGAGGAACCTCGATACAACATGACAATACCGTATTGGAATCTGCCAGTCACCACCACACATTACCCAACTTGTACCTCTCTCTACCTTCATTTCTCTAAACCCCAGAGATTCCTGGGGAAGGGGGATGCATGTAGAACACCTACCTGTGAATTTTTGCTTCACCCTAGGTAGGAGTGAGCTATGACTGGCAGTGAGGCCTGGAGTTCTGCCTTTTGTCAAAGAAGCCGTAAACATCTAGCCTATGTGGCTGACCATGCTACCCAGTGTCTTTAAAGACGAGGGGAATACTCTGATATCTCTCAGAGCCTAGAAATCTCTTGCTTGCCTAGAAATAGAAGCAAAGGCTGTCTATTTTTTTCCATTGCTGAAAGGGAAATCAAGGAGGTTTGCAGTAACATAGAGGGAAGACTTTGTCCCCCTGTTTTAATAACAGTTGTATTTTTACAAAAAGAAGAAATGTGACAACAGTACAGAGAGTGCCCGCATATCCTCCTTTGCTTTTATTATTTTTATTTTTGCTTTTTAATTTTTGAGACAGTCTCGCTATGTAGCTCTGGTTGACTTGGAACTCACTATGTAGACTAGGCTGGCCTCAGACTCATAGAGATCCACCTGCCTCTGCCTCCTGAGTTCTAGGATGAAAGGTGTGCCCCACCATGCCCAGCCTCTCCTTTTTAAATACGTAAGTACTTTAAAATGATTCCAGAGCAGCTACAGTCTTACCAGGGGAGCAGTGAGGCTAGGAACAATGCCCCAGGGTAGCTGTCACTTTGCTCTAGAGCCTGGAAGAGGTAGCCCAATCCATTACTGTAGTTTCCCAGGGTAAGAAGAAGAAGGAGCATTAAGGAGTGGAATTCCCCAGAGAACCACAGCAGCCTCTAGTCCTCCAGTTCAGTTTGCTGCAACTTGTAGGTGGGTCATGAGACTCTGAAACCAAGATACCATTCCTTTTTCAGGTGTCAGGATGTGATCAAAGCCACTACACCCCTTAAAAGATGGAGTCCCCAACCTTAAGACTGTATCTCCTGGGGGGGGGTTGGCTATCCCAAGTGACAGGCACTTTGCCTTGTTTCCGTGTGAACAGTTGCTTCTTTCTGCTTCCAATTCTTCTATGTTGAGATTTTCATTTCTCCTTAGGCTGCTAAAAACCTTTTACCTACCTCTTCATCCCCCCTCCCCCAGGAAGGACATGGCAGAGGTGAAGAGCGATGTAGGGGCTGCATTATACAGGAGCCTAGGTTAGATCATTTTCATCTAGAAATTCCTCCTACCCCTTCAAAGTCTGCTCTGGTGTTCTGAGCTCATGTCAAATGCCACATGGCCCTTCCCTTTAAGCGCGCGCGCACACACACACACACACACACACACACACACACAGGCACTTTTCCTTATGTCCAGCCTCCTTCTTATATCACTCATGCCTCTCTCTGCCTTTTACATGGCAGCTGGCCTATTGTACTTATAAACTGTTTTGAGGGCAGGAGAGATGGCTCAGCAGTTAAGAGCACTGGCTGCTGTTCCAGAGGACCTGGGTTCGATTCCCAGCACCCACATGTCAGCTAACAACCGTCTGCAATTCCAGTTCCAGGAACTCTGACGCCCTCTTCTGACCTCTGCGGGCTCTGAAACAACACAAAGGGATTTTGTGTATGTCTGCCCAAGCTTACCCAGTAAGCGTCACTATCTATATCGTCAGTATCTACCACATCCTGGACTTGGGACTAATTGTACTTTAAGAGGGAGAGGGCAAAGTCTTGCAGTCCTGCCAATCACGTTCTCCTCCTCTGCTCTCGAAGGAAAGAGCTGTTTTCTTCTTCCTCAAATTTCTTCTCACAGACTTTCAGCCTCGTGGAGGGAAGGGCACTCGTCCCTCTGCGTATTGCTGTCCTGAAGCTCTGATTCTCCCAAATGTTGGTGATCTATATGATTGCCGGGCTTATTATTCCCTTTAACCAGCATGGCTTCCCAGAGATAGGGAGCTTGACCAGCAACTGAGAGTCTACATGTGCTTGACGGGGACTAAGTTCTTTCCTGAATTCTGCCTCTATGCTTCCCAGTTGAGGCATCACTATGGTCCCTTAAACCAGCCGCCCCAAGGTCAGCTGCTGTGTTTTAGATGGCCTCTCCAAGAGCTCTGCTTCTTTGGGGTGGTAGGAAATCTCTTGGTGGGGGTCACAGAGGGGCACGCCTTTGACCTTGCGTGGTGCACAGCTGGCCTTTCTGCTCGTCAGGGTGTGAGCACTGCGTGCACCTGCGCCCGGGTTCCCGCGCCCCCAGCCTGCTGCGCGCGCCGCTTCCTGAGCGCGCCCAGCCCGCGCCCCGCCCTGCAACTGGGCCCCGCCGCGACAGTGGAGGTACAGGTGCACTAGACCACCCGCCGCCGTCGGAGCAGGTCCCCTCTCCCACCTCCCGCTGCGGCCTCCCTCCCGCCGCGCCAAATGCAGGCCGTCGCCCTCCCCGAGGAGATCCGTTGGCTCTTGGAAGGTAACGCCCTGGCGCAGTCCCAGCCCTGTGCGCCTGTGCCTCTGGAAGGTCCCTTCAGTGCTGGGCTGAAGACAGGATAGGATACCCCGGGACAGCCCAAGCCCAGACAGACCTTTCAGCCCCATCCCTCCCCTAACATAACCTTGAGGCTTCCAGAGTCTGCAGCCCCCCTCAAAGCCAGGCTTCCATCCTCCTACTTCAGGGTCCCTGGAACTCCCTTGAGTTACACACTTTCTTTTTCTAGTCGTCTACACCCATCCACATCACTCCCAGGCCTCTAAACCCCTACAGACCATACTCCTGGTACCCCCTGCTACCTGGCCTGATCTTTAACATGTCTTTCTCCCAAGGAACCCCAGAGGTTTGGGCTTCCTCCTCCCCAGCCCTGACCTCCTCACTTCACAGAAGACCTGGCCTTTCAGGGGCAAAGGTCTCTGAGGCTCTCAAGGGGGCTCTGTGAAGATTTAGGGGTCTTAGGGACAAGCCTAGTGCTTAGGTGACTTCTTACCAGTACTGAAACCCAAGGCTTCCTTACCAGCCTGTGGACTTCTAGGGATGGTACCCACCCAAGGAAGCTTCAGAGTTTGCCACTTCTTTTCCTTTCTTGAAGTGTCCCACTGTGATGGTTTCACCCTCAAACTATGGTGTCTAAGCAGTCCTTCAAAGAGTTAAGGCCACACTCTCTAACACTCAACACATACTCCTAACTCTGGAAAAGATTTCCCTGATGGACAATATCATCTGCTTGGCTCACACAGCAAAAGTCATTTTTTTACTTGTTTTTGTATAACTGACCTTCCAGAGAGGACAGAGGCCTGGAATCTGCAGCTGTATAAGTGTCTCAAGAGGAACCGGTTGAGAATTAAGCCTTTTGGCATCTACGTGACATATTTGGCACATATTTAACAGATGGCCTGCTTTGGGCAGGTCATGGTTTTGGCAAGCTGTATTCTTCCCAGTTTCTCTCAATTTAATTGGTTTTATATCTCCATTTCTGTGTTATCTTGGTATAAATGCCACCTAATCAAGCATTTGGCAAGGCCTTTTGGTTTCTGTTTGTAGCACTGTTTCCATTCTGGATTGCTTCTCTGTAAGAGCTGTCAGCTAGGTATTTCTTTTGAAGTGAAGTTTCAAAAATCAATTTTTAAAAAATGATGTACTTATGTACTTATTTTTATTTTATGTATATGGATGGATGGATATGTATGTGTGCCCAGTGCCCACGATGACCAGAAGAGAACATTGTATCCCTGGAACTAGAGTTATAGACAGTTGTGAGCTGCCATGTGGATGCTGGGAACTGAACCTGGGCCCTCTGCAAAAGCAGCAAGTGTTCTTAACCAATGGGCCATTTCTCTAGCCCCTTCTGCCTCCTGAGTGCCCATCTTTGTTTTTTGTTTTTGTTTTTAAAGGATCTATTTTTTTTGGAGCTGAGGACTGAACCCAGGGCCTTGCGCTGGCTAGGCAAGCGCTCTACCACTGAGCTAAATCTCCAAACCCAGCATCTATTCTTTGTGTGTACGCATGTTGGTGCACATGTGCCATGGCACAGTTGTGGAGGTCAAAGGGTAATTTTTGGGAGTGGTTCTCTCCTTCTGCACTGTAGCTTTTGGGAATCCAGTTCAGGATGTCAGGCTTGGTGGTAAGTACCTTTAACCCACTGAATCATTCTCCCCTGTACTGAGGATTGAACCTAGGACTCTTATGCTAGTCAAGTGCTCTACCACTATACTGCATTGCCTAGTCATCTAAAATTCATTTTAAAATTAAACCTAAACTTTAGGAATAAATTTAAAGTTAAATCTAAACTTTAGGAATAGAAGGTTATTTGTGTGGTAGAGGAATGTCATCCTGGTATCTAAGGAGGAGGTGTTGGCTCAGTATCAGATTTGTGAAGTAAGGTTGTAATTGTCTTTGGTTTCTAGGAGAGAATGAACTGTGGTAAGTTTAATTCTACCCTTGCATTTAAAGACAGAAGTGATTCTTTTTAGTGGTGTCTGCCATTTCATGAAAGGAAACCCATTTTATAAGCTTGTTAAACGGGACTTCAGTTTTGTGTGCAGCCTTGGTAGAAAATTTCTTTTTATTTTCAGAGGCTTGCACTCCGTCGACATTTTTGATGTGCAGTTCTTTAGTGTTCAAAACTGACACTTTGGTAAACAACTCATTTTTGCACCTGCCACCTTCTTTTAGCTTAGATTATTTTCTTGTTAGCTGACTATTTTTAATTGAAGTCTTCAGATCTCCTTCTAAGGCAGAACCTTTGTTGCTGACAAGGAGAACAGGGTATGAATGGAGATTAATTGCATGTCACATACTTATGTATCAAACTTGCTGTGTCTTAACAATCTCTCCCGGTGCCTGGGTCTCTGGAATATACAGAGGAATCTGAGGTTACATTTTAAGGAGCTTCACCGGTTAATGTATTTCTTTAAGGCCATTTAACACCCTCCCCCCCTTTTTTTAAGCTTGCAGTTATGATCTTGAATCTGAAATAGAGGAAAATGTAAAGTGGGATCGAATCAATGATTCTATTGAAAAATGGTCAAAGAGTGTATTTTTGAAAGGTTTGTGTAATAATAGCAACATATTAGTTATGGGCTTTTATTTTTTTATGGAACATAGTCTCTAATGGAGACCACCAAAATTATTCATTGTTACAAATAATTTGTGGATATTAGAAATCCAAAATGGCCATCAGTTTGTCATCTGTTGCTGGTTACTTGTCTCCCCCGCTACACACTTTTTAAGGTTAACTGTTGACAATTAGAAAACATGTAGGTCCTGATCTCTGTATAGTCACTCAGTGGGAGGGAGTCACAGGATGTGAGAGATGTGAGTCTTCTGCTGCCACACATGGGGTGGAGTTTCCACAGTGAATTACTGCTTTCATAAACCAAGTCATAAGCATTTGCACAGTGATTTAACACTGGCCGTCACAGCCATAACTTAAGCATTTATTTATTTATAACCACGTAAGCATAAACAACAGGGGCATTTTTTGACATAATGTGTGTGCTTTTAAAAATAAAATATGCAAAGCATTGTGAAAGGTTTATACAAAAATTTTGCATAATGAAGATCTAAAATTAATTTTAAGTATAAAATTTTAAACATGGACAAGATCTCATTTGACACAGAAATCCCGCTTGCAGGAGTCTGTTACGGAAGTGAAAGAGCATGAAGAATACGTCAAGAGTTTATCCCAAGTGTGCATGAGTTGGGAAAAGCAGAGTGATAGCTCTGGGACTCATGGGTCATCCATCTTAGTTGGTATCCCTTGCAAAGAATGCGGTTAGCCTGTCTGTGGGTCTGTCTTAGTATGCAAAGTGTCCATGGCATGTTTCCAAGACTGAAAAAGCAAAATGCACAATAGTACATGTAATAGTTCGTTTTTATTTGAAAATGAAAAGCAAAAGCCAAAAAAGTCCCATATATCAGGTGTATTTGTATAAACCTCCGAAGTGGAGAGGGTGTATCCTAAGTTGTTAACAGCCTCCATTTGAGGGGGATGAAAGTTGGGGGTATTAAATTTTATTATATGCATCTTCATTTTGGCTGAATTGTGACAAAGACCATGCATTACTTTTGTAATCAGAAAAAAACAGGCAGTCAGGTTATTTGAAAGAAAAAGGAATAAACTAAAGACAAATAGAGCTCAGAGAGGCAAGAGTGTTAAAGGGCCATTAACTGTAGTTGTGATTATGCTTTTCTGTGTTTAGTCATGGGGGGGCTATAGAAGGTGTAAATTAAAAAAAATTTCTGTTGTATTTTTGGCAAATAAGAAAGCAGTGAAAAGCCTTTTAGAGTAACCAGGAAACAGCTTCTTCAGATAGACTGTCAAGCTCCCATATAAAAATAGGACCTAGTCCTGTATCAGCAAGCAAGCACCTTATAGATAAGCCAAAGGAAGGGCATCTTTTGCTTTATTGAAAGAGGGGGAAATATTCAGGTCTGTTTTCAAATAGTCAGGCTTCAGATGTAGAAGTTATCTTTCTGTTTTTGTTTTGTGATAACTGGGCTGAAAACAAAAGCAACAGCATGTTGGCAGTTTGCTAATCTTTGTTTCACAGATACCAAGGAAAGCAGTCTGTTCTTCCTGCTCATTCTAGTCCGTCTCTCTCTCTCTCTCTCTCTCTCTCTCTCTCTCTCTCTCTCTCTCTCTCTCTCTGTGTGTGTGTGTGTGTGTGAATGAATTCAGAAGCAAAGGAGCGAATATAAAGGAGATGGACTAGATTCTTCTTTGGTTCATAATTTTCCCTCTATGGTGGAATGCAATCTGATGACTTTATCCTGATTAGCTGATAGACACTCCACCCCCCAGCTGCCTACCTAGTACCTTGATGCCGCCTGGAATATGGACTTCAGCCAAAACAGCACCAGAACCCTGGCTGCATGTTGTGGCAAGTGCTGCCCTACCTGATCCTCATATCCCTGTGGTTACTTATTCTTAAATTTCCTTGGACAGAATCAAGCATTCATCATCTCCAACCATAAAGTCCGTTTGAGCATAGTAAAACTCCGGACTATGAGAAACTTGAAGGAGTCAGTTGCTTTGGATAGCAGTCTAACTTTTTTTTATTGCAAACTGTTTTTTGATCAATCATTAGGAACTTTTCTCGCTTCTTCAGCTAGCCAGCCTGGCATTCAACTGGACCTCGTTTGGCCTTCTTAAAATTTTTTATTTATTATTTTTGTGTGTATGTCTGCATTGCCTGCTTGTGTGTAAGTACACCCGTGTCATGCAATGCTTGTGGAGTCAGAAGAAGGCATCAGATCCCCTGGAACTGGAGTTACAGATGGTTGTTAGCAGCCATGTGGGTGCTGGGAATCGAACCTTTTCAAGAGCAGCCAGTGCTCTTAACTGCTGAGACATCTCTCCAGTCCCTCGTTTGACTTTTTAACTCAGAGTTGTTAGAGTGAATACCTGTTGTCAGGCTTTACAGCAATATATGGAGTTCTTTAAAGATATTTCTGCCATAGTTATTCCTGCCTGGACT